TTACGGTAGTCAGTAAGGTGGAAAAACATTGACTAGATCATATGCAGTAACTTCAGGGTCTTCCGACTACTACGCTGCAAAATTTAGCACCACTTAGCATTTGTAGTCCAGCCGAGAACGATTCTGGTGCATTCTGAACATCAAAACAGGAAGGAGGCAATCTTCACTTTTATAAATTTAGACCCATTCTTCAAAGGGTACAGAGATGGAATAGAATTGTCGTCATTACATATAAGCCTTTGCTAATCACTACGCGGATTATAGCAGCACAAGGGTTTCCATGCCCTCATTCGAGCGATAGCTAGTGCAGTTCACATAGTGCTTCTTATGATATCGATAGCAAACGTGGTACTTCAAGATGGTCAGCAACAGACTGCCCATTAGACGCAGCGAAACTGGTCATAGCAACTGGAGAAGTTGCCGGCTTCATCGCTAGAAAGCAGCAGCCGATCGGATTATCAGAATCTGTACGATACGACTTTTTATATGTTTCTTCGTTTAATTCCTCTATATTACTATAACTTAGTTACTATAAATTAAACCATAGTCTTATGATAAGGTATAAAAAGAGAAATGTGTGGTAGTAAAGAGCAACAAGAAATGAAAGCATACCCTCCCGAAAATATTTCCTGGCATCGGCAGAAAATGATCCTTCCATACACTATCCAAGAACCACTTGAAACTTTTGCAGTGCAGTCGTTTTCGTAGCTCAACACGATCACTTACGTCAACCATTTCACGCATCTTATAGGCTTCTGAATGTTTCTTCATGTAGAATTATTATAGATTTTTCGAATCCATAAGGTATTAAAACTTTCATCACAGATATGTTTTTACTAGGACTTCCTGCATTAACCCATTTATGTATTCTTTCGATTTCAGGCAAGTGATTTTGGCATCAGCCGGATCCAGAACGCGAGGCACGCTCCTACACCCTCCCTCACTCTCGTTTATTTCTCCCTCTCTCATTCTTGGCTCAGCTAGCATATAGTGTCCGAAAGTTAGTAAGCAGGGGTCAGGCCCAAATGATGTGCAGTTCGTACAATTAATAAAAACTATCATACGTGGCGCTGTTTTGTAGAAGTGAAATTTCCACTCGTCCATCCACACTTCGGCTACTCGCAACAAATTATTGTTGAGAACAGCTCCTGACTGACGACCCGGAAAATCATGCGGCGACGCTCGACGAAACACATGACCCACGTGTGAACATGGCAAAATCTCAATCCGTCCACCGCACTGCCAGATCTGACGGAAATAACAAAGTGATTAAACGGGTACATTTGCCCTGTGAAAATTTGATGTGTTATTAGTGGAACCATAAGCTTTCCCATCTACCGATGCAGTCAGATTTTTTTAAAAAACGTTTCACTTTCAAAAAATTCCTGGCACAGCCAAGATTTTTTGAAAGTGAAACGTTGTAATTGCACTAGAAATTTGCCAAAGACGACATTTTTGATCCGCTGGTATTCTCTCCAATGGGCACAAATTTTTTTGACATTTGGAGCATCGGGGTGAAGAAAAATCCCCATTTGTTAATCAGCTACTGAAACAACAACAACAACAGCAACAACAACAGCAACAATAATAATAATAATAATAAAAGATTACTAATAAATACGGTACGAGCGGAATAAATCTACAGTGCAGAAAATTAAGAAGATAAAAACCAAGGCGTTTGTTTGTTAACGCCTGTAGCGTAGAATAAGGATACTGAACTCAATTAACCTGACATTTACATCTACCTCGGCCAGATTACTATTGTTTTAGTCCGGGAAATGCATATAGGGAGTTTAAAGAATAACACAAATTCCACAGTACCATCGATCACCTCAAAGGTCGAACTAAAAGAACCTTGTCTATCTCTTTCAGAACCAAATTTACATCACTTTCAAGCACCAAATGCGATTGAAAGTGAAGAAAATGGTGGTTTTGAATGAGTGCTGAATGCTAAGTAGCGGTTTAGAATGGCCGCTCATTCAAAAGTTAAATGAACCGTGTCCAGAAAAAGGATGTTTGTCACAAATGTTCGCCAGGCTGCACTCTTCACCAGTTCACGTTTATTTTAATGTGATACCAGAAAAATGATAAAATATATGAATACCCTGAGCGAAATTTCGATGTTTTCACCACCCCAAATATCCATCTCGGGATCGTAAGCACCGATTTCTTCGAAATACTTCCTATCAATGCTGAATAAGCCACCAGCCATCGTTGGCGAGCTTTAAATTTGCAGTTTTTGTGATTTTAGCTACAAAAGACCGGATCTGTGACATTACGAATGCATATCTCCCAGATAGATCTTTTTTATGATTTTTGACTTTTATTCAAATGCAAAAACGCATGTCGTCAAGAAGATCTGATTAAACTCACCACTTACTTTTTATTTTTGTAAGAAATTGTATACACTTGTTAATTTAAATCCTGCCGAGCTTCTTAAAGTAGCTCTTGCTAAAGTAGAGCCAGTCAAATACAGACGACTTGACTTTAGACCAGTTTCCTTAAATTTGCTAAATTTAGCATTTTTTTGGAGAAAATTTATGTCCATTTAGTATCTAAAGTCTCAATAAGCTTTTAAAGGCAACTCTAGCTAAAGTAGGGCTGTGGTAGCTGAACGTAAATCGAGCGAAGCAAAGAACCGCTAATTTGTCCTTCAAACCGTTTCCTTGTATTTTCTATATTTGTCACTTTTTTGCAAGAAATTATACCCATTTAATATTTAAAATCTTATCTAGCCTTTTAATGCAACTTAGGCTAATGATAGGCGTTGGTAATCCTTGACCTGTTTTTGTCTTGTTAACTTTAGCACTTTTTTGCTTAAATTTGTATCTGTTTGCTTTATTTGAGATTCGTTAAGCTGTTTGAGCCAGCTGGACTAAAACCGAACGAAGTAGGCTCTAGTAACTTGACCCTCGACCTGTGCTTTCGGTGTGTTTTCTATACTTTTTGCAAAAAATTATGCCCATTCGGCCCAATTTAAAACACAACCAAGCATTTTTGAGGTAGCTAGAGAAAGTCGAGCCTCACTACTGACCAAATCCGGTACCTATTGAGTTCCACGCATTTCCCTCACTGTTGTCCACTTAGCTATTTCAAAAGACCACCACCAGCCCGCTGCCCCTCATCAAAAACCCTTGGCAAACTGCTCCCAACCTCACAGCAGTGAATAAAAATTTCGGAGTTAGGGAAGTAAA